TGGCGAAGACGTTTCTAATTAAACCAATTTTTTTGTTGGTTTCTCCATTTTTGACGAGACGTACCATTGAAGTTTCCTTGCAAAGGCACTGGTGAAGAATCCTACAGCACCTGATGCTGATGATAGCACAGGGGCATCACCGTTCAGGCCAAAACACAGAAGAACGGAAATCAGGGAGAAACACGTTCAGGCAAGGTGCCCTATTGGGCGTATTTGACGATCCCTCAGATCTTAACCATCAACCAACCGCCATAAGTTGCAAATCAAAGACAGGAAATCAATATACTAGGCTTTAATGTAAATGAGCAAGGAATTTTACCAGATAAAGAAAAAATAGTTGCATAAGAAAATTTCCCACACCAAAAAAAGTTAGGGATGTACAAAGCTTTCTTGGACTGTGCAACTTTTATAGAAAGTATATTCACAATTTCGCATCAATAGCCAGCCCATTGCATGAAGTAACAAAGAAAAGCATAGGCTTCAAACGGGGTACAAAGCAAGAAAAAGCATTCAACACTCTCAAAGAAAAGCTTGTCTCTACTCTACACCAGTACTACAGCATTTCAATCCAAACAAATATACTATCCTGCACACTGACGCAGCAACCTGTGGAATAGGGGCAGTTTTTTTACAAGAGGATAACAAGAGAGAAGCACATCCAATAGCACATCCGTAGCCTGTCAAACAGCGAAAAGAATTATTCAATTAGTGAATTAGAGCTCTTAGGCGTAGTCTGGGCCTTAGGTTACTTGAGGCAGTTAATATACGGCCGACCAGTGAAAATCGTGACTGATCACCACGCGCTCTGCTGGATGGACACTATTAAGGAAAGCAACAGACGCTTAGCCAGATGGGCATTGAAACTAGCCGAACTCGACTATTCAGTTGTGTATAAGGAAGGCTCGCCCCACACGGACGCGGATGCATGTTTCGCAACCCGGTACTGCAGCCAGAAGCGCATGAACAAGAAGACCAAGAAGAACTCCCCACATTTGCACTACAAACATCGAAAATGTCTACGTTCCAAAAAACAGACCCAAGCTTGAAGCAACTTCCTAAAGCTGTAGGAAGTCCAGACGATCCAGAAATTGATATTGGAACAAAAAATTTCAGGATCGAAGCAGGCCTATTATACAAAGTGAATAAAACACAGAAGGCATTAGAAAAAGTATTGGTAGTGCCACAAACAATAAGAAAAGAAATTCTATGGGAACTACATGCATCACCAACAAGCGGACATTTAAGCCTCAGCAAAACGACAGAGAAAATTACTAGCAGATTTTATTGGGATGGATATAGAAAAATACGTGAAAGTATGTCCGGATTGCCAGGCAAGGAAGGGGGAACCTTATAGAAAAACACCAGGGTTATCACAACCAATACAAGTAGGAACGATTTTCGACAAGATTGGCATCGACCTATTGGGTCCATTTAGAAGAAGTAATAAGGGAAAAACAATGATAGTAGTAGTTACCGATTATGCCTCAAGATATGTCATCGCAGCCGCCTTGCCAAATGGAAAAGCACGACCAGTCGCAAAATTTTTATTAGAAAAAGTATTTTTGATACATGGAATGCCAAGAAATCTGCTTAGCGATAGGGGAAAAGTCTTCCAATCGGAGTAAGTAAGTTTAATGGGAGTGAGAAGCCAGCTAACACAGCATATCATCAATGCTGTAACAGATTAACAGAAAGGCTGAATAAGACAATAGCTGCCATGCTGTCAATGTATTGTAACACACAGAAAACAGACTGGTGTAGCTATTTACCATTTATTACGTTTGCTTATAATACAGCAATGCAAGATACGACTCGTTTTAGCCCATTTATGTTAACGTACGCAAGGGAACCTACACTACCTGCTGAAGCAGTGCTATTGGATGCTGAAAATGGAACGGACATACTACAAATCAGGGAAAATGCACTCTTAATACGATCTATAGCAGTGGAAAATATACGGAAAAGACAAGGGCGTTTTGATGAAAGACATAGAGAATTGGACTTTGAAGTTGGAGACAAAGTTAGTGTTAATCAGAAAGGTTGAAAGAAGTGAAAAGTTACTTTTAAGATGGTTTGGACCATATAGAGTACTTAGAAAACTTGGAGAAGTAAATTATGAAGTAGAAAAAATTGGTAGTAGAAAAAAGAATAAAGATGCGGTCCACGTCAGTAGGATGCTGCCCTACAATGACCCGTGGACAGAAGGTGCACCTATAGAAGAGTATAGTGAAGATGACGAAGACGAAGAAGTAAGAGATGAAGAAGACGAAGAAGAAAAAGAGGAAGAAGAAGAAGACGAAGAGAAGAAGTAAGAGAAGAAGGAGAAAATAAGCAGTAGAAGAAAGTGCCCACATGTATATTATAAAGAGTTTAGGACTAAGAGAAACACAGCTTAGTATTAAATAAATTTAAACAGGATTTATCAAACTCTCTTCCTTCCGGATTTTTGGTGATACTGACTCATAGCGCTATAAGCCAGGAGGTAGAAGTATCCGCCGGCGCAATCTGGAAACTTCTATTAGATACAATTTCATGCGAAGGGTCAATCCCATTAACATACACAGTATCATGGCTTGAAGAGCCTTTAGAACCAACAATATTGGGAGGCAGGAAGTGTCAAGATTCAGAGAAAGTAGGATTTGAGATCTATTGTATATGGAAGGAATAGCATCGACTGTAGACAAAGAGCAATTTTATTTCATTTTTGGTAATTCAATTTTTAACACACATCATTTTTGTTTTTTTAACACACATAATTTTTGTTTCATACGCACAAAATCGCATCAACCGACCAGAAGCCCGATCCTCGGGCCAGGGAGAAGAGCTCCCCGATAGAACGAATGTTTTGTCTTTGTCAACGTAATCGAAAAGTAAATGAGAATGATAAAGACGAAAAATTTGTTCTCTCGAGGAGATCTACTCCCTAGCTCGAGGATCGGCCCGCTGAGGACAAGCGAGGCCAAGAAACCAATGACACCACTCTGGATTGAGCAGGGGCATCTCTGATCCAAAGATCTACGAGTACCATTAGAAGCAAGGAACCAGACAACTATGAAAATTTTCGTCAACCAAAAACGGACCCCAAGGAAGCATAAACGTTATGGTACCTACCTGGATTATCTACCGTTTTTACTGAGAAGACGCATCTGGTCAGACGGCAAAACCCAACCCGTGACAGAATCTCCCCTGGCGCACCACAGTTTTTATCCATTTTTAGTAATTGCATCGCCCCTATTCCTTTTCGATATTTTTGTATTATATTGTATTGTATTGTTTTGTATTTTATTGGTTGTATTGTATATTATATTATATTGTATTGTATTTTATTGTATATTATATTGTATTGTAAAGTATTGTATTTTATTGTATTGTAATTCTATTAGGTATCTTGTAATTTTTTCATTTTTATTTTTGATGTCTCTTCTACAAGCATTGGAGGCCAATGCTCTTCAGAGGGGGGGGGCGGGGCATATGTTAACTACTTAAGTAAATACCACTCTGTACATCAATTTTACTAAAGTGTGTCGACGAGTCAGCATTGATTTGGTATAAATACAGCGCCGGAATCCATTACCGGCAGACTAAAGCTAGTGCGAACTACCTCCAATGGGAAAAGCCCTTCTAGCTAAATCTCCTCCCAGTGCAAACTACCTTAAATGGGAAACGGCCCTCTGGGAGAATTGAACGCAGCGGACTAGGTCCAGTGCAAACTACCTTTAATGGGAAATGCTTTTCTGGACCTGTCTCAAACTTAGTTTCAGTCTTCAGTCACGCCAAGTGTACAGAGGGTACCTAATTAATACAGAGTGGCCCATAAGCAGTACGTTCCTCCGTAGAACAGACGTCATGATACCATTTCTAGGGTAATACTATTATTATTCAATACACATCTCATTATACCTATACCAAGCGAGTTTCTCTCTACCTGAACCCCACCTACGCCCCTAAGTCACGCTCCTGTTGTGACGTCCCAGGATGAAACGTATAGGGGTTGTGACAATATTTGACCACCTTAATACACCGTTCCAAGTGGAACGACATGCAGTCGAACATTGAAAATGGAGCCATGATTGTTCTTAAGGGAGGAAATAATCCACCACTCATGTGGAGATTGGTAAGAGTTGTAGATGTGCACGCTGGAAACGATGGGTTAGTGAGAGTGGTTAGTGTACGTACATCACTATCGATGTACCAAACACCCTGTATGTATCAATTTGAATAATTATTGAAGGTTTTATTGGCATGAAAAAAAAGAGGCCCAACAACTTCAACAAACAAACCGAGACTGTGCTGTGATTATTGAATAAAAGCTTTGTTGCTTTTGGTAACAAATTTTATCATATTTTGAGGCACTATTAAATAATAATTGAACAGAAATACATAAATTAATATTTATTTTTGTAAAATAATGGATGGTTTGGGGCACAAATAGGTACATAAAAGTATCAAATATTATACGCTCTGAATATGATTTCAGCAATTCATTTTATAAAATAATAACAAATTGTATTCAATTATTATTTCTCCTCTTTCATAATTAGACACTAACTTCAAAAACCATAGAGCCATTTTCCTCGTTATTTTTCTAAAATACAAGCGAAATGTATTGTTGTGTTGTTTTCAACTCGTTCGTTTCGTCTTTTGTGTTTTACAATGGAGAGCCTTTATTGCAGGAAACAACAGGAAGAAAGGATAATAATTTGTCCGTTTTCAATCTTCCCATCCGGAAAATTCCGTGCCAGTTTCCACTTTCTTGGCTCGATATTCTATAAGTAGGTATGATGAATGTTCTGTGGCTGAGTCAAATTTGGGAAATTATTCATTATAATTTACCTTCGCACAAATAGTAGATAAACCCGCAGAATGGTTCTGCAAAGAAATATTAATGCATTCTACATTAATCAGAAAGCGGGGAAGGTATAGGAATAATTTACACTGTTATTATTTTCATCCAGAATATTTTATATTAGCATAATTTGTGTTTGAGCATATAAGTAATATTACAGTATCAGATAAGTATAACATAAACCAACTTTAATTATGATTATTAAGATGGAGCTAGAGTAAATGGTGGTACAAGAGTTCTTCTGGATAAAATCCAAATAATGTTGTACTTTAAAATTAACAACCAAACCTTTAGGATCCTGGGGATCGAATCTACCAATAATACCAACTTGGTATCCGACACAGAAAAGTGGCCCTCCATAGTCGATATTATTCAAGGACCTTTGGATGTCGGAAGCTCTGATTCTAAAGCAAAAATGTCTGTCTCCAGAAAGTACCATATTCGCTATTTTTTGGCACCGTTCACTAGGAATTGGTGAGACAAAACTACATTGGAGAGTTCTCGCTATCTTTTTGTAATGTTGATCAAATTGTGTAGGTCCAAATCCCATAACATTAAGTGACCCGCATTGGAGAGCAAAATCGACAAAGTCTTGACCGGGAAGAGTTGCAAGTTGAATGTGAAATAATTTTTTTTGCAATTTCAGGACGGCAATATCGCCTGATGGATGAGTATAATTTGCTATAACGTTAACCTTCAGGAAATCGCCATCTTTGTGATCAGGAGATGATATTATTCTACAAACGCTTTCACGCATAAGATATATTAAATCAGTAACGAGACCTGAAGTTAGTACAGAGTTGGGTCCAATCATCGTCCCTGCACCTATAACAATGCATTTCTTGTCATTTTTCATTTCCACTTTTACCATAAATGGATACATCTCTGTGGTACAACTGTAGTCACGCACTCTGCCCTCTTGTAGACTTTCATTCTCAGGACTAGAATCCGACAACTTATAATGAATAGAAACTAGGAATATTAGTAGCAGATATTGTTTTATCATTTTTAATTTTTGACAATTTTAATTGTAAACTTGACGGAAGGGATTTAGACGAATGGTGGGTTCGAAAACCACGTAGCAGGTATGAGAAAATTATTGATATTGGAGCGAGTTATTTGGCTCTTTCACATTGTTCGAGTTGAACGCAGAAGTCATAGACGAAAATGGGATTTTCAGTTATAGATATTTTTAAAATTAAATTCTATTGGAAACCGAGAAGCCTGTTCCCTACTTGGGCAGCCGATATCCAAGCCAATATTCGGCATGCATAGAGGAAGGCGATAGGATATCACCTCTTTTTTTCCGAACTATAAATAGTTCCCCAATCGGATCTCCTGAGAGAACAGCTTTGAACATACGATCAAAAATAAGAAAACCATTGAAGGGGAGGGGAATGTAAGAAGCTTATCCGAAGCTGGAAAGCTGACAAACCTTACACAGCAAATGAGCAGACTCAAACTAACCTAAACCTAGACCTAGCTTTTGCTGAAACCTGTTGTATACTTCGTCCCATACTCAGACCGCATTCCTTCATTGAACTCAGAGTTGAGCCAAGCGATCTTAATATAACACAGGTATACGCACCAATGGCAGCAAATATCCAGTTAAGTTCTCCAAAATTTTGTAGAGGGCGCGAGTGAACTTGGAGTGCTTCAAATTTTGGCGGCAAATGTCAATAGTTTTAATCCGTTTAAATTGAGTAGAAAGAAAGATGACTACAATATGAACAATGAACAATGAATAAGTTAAAATATCTTCCAAAGCATTCAGTGGCCCTAGAGAATATTTTTAAAAGTGTCAGCGTCAGCTTGTCTTGAAACCACACATCAGACTTAACTTTTGGGGTTAAAATGACAATCAATTATTTACGCGCCAAAATTTAAATAGCTCCAAGTACAGAAGCGCCCTCTTCAACTCAACTGTCAATATTACATGCCATTGCAGAGTCGCCGGAGCAAGATGTGGAAAATTTTTATGATGAAATCAAAAAACAGCTATTTGACTAATGGGATTATGGGAGATTCCAATGCCAAAATGGGAAAAGGTGAATTTGAGGAAACAGTTGGGCCCAATGACGTGTAACATTGCAAATGTCACTTGCTTTTTATATATCAATAATTTTTACATTTTATTATTTTATATAATTATTCAGCCATATGGCGGCATCTATTGCCGGCTGAATCAATTATTTTATCGGTGACCTCGAGAAGGGAATAGGCGCTTTCTTTTGTACTACCTTAATCTACTCGACCCTTGTACTTCGTTGCTCTTTAACCTCGTTAATAGTTTTCGAACGCAGTACTTTTCACATAACTGAGGTTCGGCACCGACAGGTTGACAGTGTTTTCCTCCAAAAATGTCAAGTGAAATCTTGAAATCTATTTATTCTGGAAGAAAAAATTGAAGAGACCCTTTTATAATCTGACTTTTGCCCTGACAGCTGGACTGTGGCTTAGGGGGGCAGTCATCTTCCTGAATGAATTATCGATTACCGTTCTCGTGGAAAAGGTGCCTTATCGGCCTTCAGGCATTATCGTGACGAAATAAAGTTGCGTAGAGCAATAATCCATTGATTACCGAGAAAATTTAAAAGAAGTCTTGTGATTACCGTTTTATTCAATTTGAATTTCGACCCCACCCATAGTAGGTTTTTTTAATATTTTTTTTTCAAGTAATGGTTGTTCATGGAATGCATTATTACTTAGGGTCTTTCGGAGAGTCGTTTCACTCAACAAGTCCATTCCAAAAATGGCACATTTTCATTAGTAACCCCAGCTCCGTGGAGTGTGGCATACAGCTTTTGAAGGGATTCGTACTCTACAAGAATCAAGACCCCCACAAGTCGATACGTGTGTCCCACATTTGACGACAATTCTAGTCCCTCATCTGCCTGGATTCTGGGCTGGAATCCGCAAGTTCCATGTGCGGTTCCCTGACCGAGGGTGGATGCTCTACCTTATGTTGGAATGGAGGCTTGTATTAAGTTTCTCCAATAACTTTTAATACCTTCTCTTCTATTAAATCCGTTTTATAGTCAATTAACAAATTTAATATAATTTTTTTTATATGATTTTCATGCAACATTTAAATTCTCTGATTCTTGACACGATGATGGAGAATTAGTTTTCGAATTATCAAATTTATTATGGATTTGGATTTGCATAATTTTTAATGCTGCCTTATATTTTATAATTTTTATCAATAATAATCCATAAGTAATGTGAACAAAGGTAAAGGTTGGACAACATGTTCTGAATTTAGAATTATTGAGTAAGTGCCAATAACGTCAAAAGTTGATCAATTTTCAACCCTGGGTCCTACGACTTATATATTTGAGGATTTCTATTGAATCTCCAGACCATTTACCGTTATAATAGCCCAACTTTCGATTTCTTTCAGGTACAAATTGATTTTATCGAATTTATTTTTTTTGCAGAAGCTGACCATATTTGTCAATAGAATTTTTCAATCATTTATTTTTTTAATTAGTTTCCTGGAAACTTAAATCCATACCATTCTGTACTTATTGAACCCACCCCTAATATTTATTCGCTGAGCAAACCGAGCATATTATGGGCCTCTTTTTAATTCATTTACAAAAGGGATCACAGATGGTGGGCCTTATGGCCTTGAAGGGGGTGATGGACTTTTACAATTCTGTCAAGAAGTAACCATGAAAGTTACAAATACATGGTTTCAATCCCATTCTCGCCGTATTTATACTTGGAAGGCCCTCGCGGACAGACCGCGTATATCCTGGACAGCAGATATCCTGTAGTGCTGGACAAAATCGGGAATCTAATTATGAAAGCCGAAATGGGTAACGAGATAAACGCACGAATTCAAACAATACAATGGAGAAGAGCTAACGCCATCATGCACAAAGATAATGGATGACGGACGAGACGTTGGTAATGGATGATGACAGACGGCAACATATGCAAACTCATATAAGAATAGCAAAAAATTAATAGGTTAAACGTGAATACACTGAAATGGAACAGCTGACAAGTCTTGTTTCGTCTCGCCGATGAAATAAGAAGTCTTGTGTCGTAGCCTTGAGTCTCATCTCGTCTTGTCTCGTGCGAGACTCTCGCAAATGTATCCAAATCTCGTCATGCATAACAAGATCACAGAGATAAGATGCTTTCCAGTGACCCACTTGAGTTACGCTGGAAAAGCGCAGGAGTGCTCCGCAATTACTCTGCGCCGTTCCAGTGTTACTTAGACTGCTAATGTCATACGATCAAATTACTAATTTCTGTTATCCCCTGTCTCCTCGGGCACTCACCTATATTGCGGTGTTTCATGTTCCGAAATTTTGGGGAAAGGGTTAGGAAAATTGAAGTTATTTCCGTTTGTTTTCGGGAAGTTTTACGATAGGTTATAATACCCAACAACATTCTGAGGGAAGGAGTAGGCAATGAACTATACTGGTCTGGCAAGTGAACATCTTGAAGGCCATTTTTAATGCAATAGAATTAAATGTCTAGAAAAAGTCTAAGGTTAAATAGAGAACGAAAACGATTTTTCCTGTTCCACCTCCAGCATGGAGTGCTGAGAATGCTGGAGATGGAACAGGGGAAATCGTTATTCTTCTCTATTCAACCTTAGACTTTTTCTACATGTTTCATTATATTGCATTTGAATTGTCCCGTAAGCGTAAGATACTGACCTGTCAGGCCTGTATACTAAACGCAACTGTAACGGCCACGCTCATTTACACAGGGACGCAACTAGAACCCTCGGCGCCCAAGGCCAACCAAATTTTGGCGCCTACCCCCTCTTCCCACCGCTGCCTTGAAAATAAAGTATCCATTTGATGCTATAGTTTTGGCCCCCTACCTACCGCTGTAATTTGACGCACTAAAAATAACCCACTGTATAAAGATACTGAGTGATTAATATTTAATTATTCCTGGCTTTTGTAGGAAATCTTTCACGGAAGCCGGTAATCGAGAACAATTCTACCACTGTGTAGAGATACAGGGTGATCATTATTTCATTGTCCCTGGCTCTTAATGTATAAAATTTTTCACGAAAGCCGGTAATAGAAAACAATTCTACCCACTGTAATATGACCCAACAATAATAAGCCACTATATAAAGATACAGAGTAAGCAATATTCCATTATTCCCAACTCTTGTAGAAAATCTTTCACGGAAGCCGGTTATTGAGAACAATTCTACCACTGTATAAAGATACATGGTGATCAATATTTCCTTATCCCTGGTTCTAAATGGAGAAAATCTTTGACGAGAGGCACGAGAGCCGGTGATAGAAAACAACTCTAATTTGACTCAACAAAAATAAGTCACTGTATAAAGATACAGAGTGATTAATATTTAATAATTCCCGGCAGCTCTTGTAGGAAATTTTGCACGAAAGCCGGTAATATTCGAAAATAATAATTCTACCATTGTATAAAGATACAGAGTGGCCGATATTTGGCGCCTCGGTAGTCTAGCATGTTTTTTGCTCTGGGCTTGCGCCTAATTCGCTACCCCCTAGTTGCGGCCCTGCATTTACACACCACTGATAAAGTTGTGAAATTTTGTCAAGAAAGACTATCAGTAGTCCTCCTCTGTGTCATTCATACTGCATGTCAGATAAGGATGAATATACCTACATTGTCTACTACAACGTAGGTATCTTCGTCCTTGTCTGCTGCTAGAGTCAGACAATGATGGGTACCTAAACGAAACCAAAAAGGTTACACAATTTTGTGCTTCGTTGCCGTTCCAGTTGCGTTTAGTATATAGTTTATTAGAGGTAGGCGGATAACGGTTTCACGAGAGTCCGGCTACAGTATATATTTATATTCTGTGTACTTTGTGTGCACGCATAAATATTCACCTGCGAGATTCTCGCACGAGACAAGAGACGTCTTGCACGAGACCAATGAAAGTATCGTCTCGTCTTTTCCGAGTATCGTCTCGAGTCTGTCTCGAAAACGAGACGAGACGAGACGAGACTCTCGTGGGTATCACTGACCTACACA